TAATATCATAACTGTGGTGTCAGATGGTTATTAGACTTACTATGGTTTATTTTGTTAGGTATGTAATGGTTGTATACCTGAAACTAATATATGTATAATATATATATATATATATATATATATATATATATATTTATATATATATATATGCTTTATTTATTTATTTATTAGCTGAGCCATCCTGCCACTTGTTGGCAGCTCAGCAGCTGCTCAGCTTGAGCTGGGACTAGAACTGCTGTTGCTCAGAGCTCACACTCTTGAGCGAGCTCTTCATCAACTGATCTACTCGGCTGGCCCTGTTAATTATATTAAATTATAGTTGACATACAATATTATACAACATCAGCTTCAGGTGTACAGTGTAGTGATCAAGTCTCTACCCCATCCATGAAGTGGTCTCCCTTACAAGACGCTACCATGTGACACGCTACAAAATATTTACAACATTATTATAGTCCCTGAACTGTCTTTCATATCCCTGTGTTAATATTGTAGTTACTTATTTATGCTGTCTAATCCCTTCCCTTTCTCCCTCATTCCCACCCCCCTCCCAACTAGCAACTATCAGTTTTTCCCCTTGCTCAAAACTGCCTTTGAATCCCTCTAGTGAATTTTTCATCGCAGTGAATATACTTTTCAGTTGCAGTATATTTGATATCTTTTCTAGGTTTTTCTATCTCTGTTGATTTTCCTCTTTTGGTCATATATCATTTTCTTGACTTTATCTACATCTCACTTTAGTTCTTTGAACACCTTCAAAACCTTTTGAAGTCTTTGTTTAGCATATCTGCTATCAGGTCTTTTACAGGGACACTTTCTGTTGATTTTTTCTTTTTTGAATGGGCCATACGTTTCTGTTTCTTTGTATGCCTTGTGATTTTGTTGTTGAAAGATGGACATTTGAAAGTAATAATATGATGACTCTGGAAATTAGATTCTTTCCCTTCCCCTGAGTTTTGTGATTGTTTTTTTGATCTGTGCTGAGGATCAGCCTGAGGTATAGACTTTATCAGGCAGGTCATTTCTGAGTTTTTCTCCTGGGACTCAGCAGTTACTTTAGAATTTTCTTTGTATGTGCAGTTTTTTGAACGTCTTAGTCTTTAATGTCTGGGTCTCCAAATGAGGAAAAGAGGAAAATTGAAGACTGGGGCATGGGTACTAGGGAGAAAGGGACACAGACCCTTTAAATCACCTGGAAGTCACTTTAGCTGCAGGAAGATGGACTTTCAACAGTTGTGGGAGAAGCAACAACAGTGGCTGCCTACCTCTTTGCACCTGTTATCAGAAGCAGCAATCAGCTACCAGAGCACAGATCCCTGATGTTTGGAGGGCGGGGTCCTTTTTCCTACACTGACTCCTACAAGCCAAGTGCAAGCTGCTCTAGAAATGTGCAGGTGGTGGCTGGTGGTGGGGTGCATAGCTGCTACTGTGTTAGCAGCTGAAATTGATGGAAACGAACCACACTTTACTGTCCTGGAAGTTGCAGGCCTTTCATAAATTCCAGATTTCCACCATAGTTATATCAGATGGATTGTCCCAATGCACGAGGTGGGGAGACAGATCTCTTAATTAAATACATTAAATGCTCACTATCTGCCCCTTTGCCAAAGTTTCTGCAGTCATCTCCTGGTTGTAGGACACTTACCCTCTAGTATATTTTTCAGGAAGCGAATTTGTGTTCATATTCTCTAATTTCTTATTCAATCTTTTATATCCTTGATATTTGAAGGTGAGCTTGGCTGGATATAAACTCTT